GTGAAATTAAATCCTTGAGATATGAATCAATAGGGTATAATCGATAGGGCACAAAGCCCTCTGTTAGTTAAGATGGATTTAAATTTGTCCCCTTAGATAAACATCTAACTCAGGTCTACATGATACCCTTGGACGAAAAAACTCATGGCTGCCAATAAGGATCCTTCTATCATGTTGGGTCGACTACCTCCTCTGACTAAGTAGACCAGGGATCACGATGGCCTGGGACGATGGAACTATGTGATCTTGATCGGGTCCATCATCTATTCCCCCACCATTTTCTTTAAGTGCAAGATAGGAAAATTTTCATTTTTAAATATTACATTTTCAATGTCTAACCCATGCTGCTACTATATGCTAGATGTATGCATCTCTTCGTATCTGATTGACGACTAGCCTTAATCAAAAGTTCTCTCTCGTTATAGGGAGGGGTAATTAACTATAAGGGCTTGCGCCTATAGGAAACCAGAACTCAGATCATAAAGTCCTCACAAAATGAGTGCGAAATCTCTGGGTAGTGTCTTATCCACAAACTCATCTGACTTCCAAAATTTACCCCGTAACTCAATCCTTTAAAACTCCCCCGATAAAACAGCGGGGGAGGCCGAGGCCGAATTTTCGGAGCCCACAACAGCTTTCACATTTTGTTGTGTATTCATATCCATCATGAATTTAGCGGCTTATGTAGCACTAGTGTTTACATTAATGTGAGTTCCATCAACTCTTGAACAACCTTACATAATAATAACCATTGCTTAAAAAGGCGTTTGAGGCGTACGACTCGAGGAGCCTCAATAGTTTGGTGGCTTGCAATTTTTTACATGAAGCGTAATGCCTCGAAGCAGTTTGAGGCATCGTCTCATTTTATTTGAGTTATTTTATTTATAATTACACGTGGCCAGTCAATTGCAAGTATAAATTTTAGGGCTTCGTAGTTGCTTTAGCTTTGTCAGCTTCATTTGAAGTAGAGTTGAAAGAGAAGCTCCTTCACCTCTTTCGACAACAACATTTCCTGTCAAATCAGACTAGAGCTTGCAACGAAGGTAACAATTTTCTTTCCTTTCAAGTGCTGCTTCGGCTTCGCCTACTATGTATGAAGTAGAGTTCTGAAAGAGTCGATCCGATAGGAGCTTGCAGCGAAGTATCATCTATCTTCCTGTTCGACCGCTGCTTCAGCTTCATGTGCTTCATGTGAAGTTGAGCTTTGAAAGAGTCGATTCTATTGGAGCTCGTAGCTAAGGTAATGATCTTTCTTACTGTTCGACTGCTGTTATTTGTAATAGGACAATACTGCATTTTGGTTGAAAGTAACTCATTAAAAATAGACTCCTAGGGTCATAGAAAGTTATTTGTCATCATACTTCTATGGTGTTACTTTTAGATTACTACTCTCAACTCAAAAAATTCCTTGAAACTATTGTCTATAGCCTTTTGCTGTGTCTATAAATTGCTAGTTTCTACATAGGTAGTTGGATTTTGGATCTTAGATATTTGTGTAAAACTATTAAAATTTTGATATCATTGAGATAAAAACCAAGTGTTAGCTTTTTACGCATGGACACTCAAGCTGTACAAGAATTTCATTAATTGTAATGAAAGTCATTATCTCTTGACTGATTTGCATGCAACATGACACAAGAGAGACCCTTGATTGTCACAATAGGTCATTGTCAAGCTTCTAGCAATTTGATAGTTGGATAATGATTTCCCATACATAATACCTAATTTTAAAAGCTTGGTGATGTCATGAGTGTGATGATATATTTGTTCTTGTTGAACTTCACTTTGAAAGATTTTTACATGCATGACTCTATTTTATACAAAATAGTCTAAAGTTTTCATAAGCCAAGTTCTTTTCAATTTAAGAAATGGATTAAAATGGTCCATTGACTCTTTTATGAAAGATTAAATTAATCCCCAACTATATTAAAAAGTTATTTTAGTTTCTCAACTCCTTAAACAAAAATCAAAATAGTCTCATGGTGGGATTATTTTGATTTCTCTTTAAAGACTTGAGAGACCAAAATGATTCTTTAATATACTTGGGGGCCATTTTGGTTCTTCATAAAGAGTGAATGAACCATTTTGGTCCTTCTCTCTTTAAAATTAATAAATATATCTTGCTCAAGTCTGCTAGATTTTTGGGAAACTATGCGAACTTTTCAACCCTAAATCAGATATAGTGCTCGACATCTCTTGATTATTTCTATTTAACTAATTAATTGATTATATTACCAATTTTTATAATTGGTTTATTTAAAACTCTGATAATTGGGAAAGATATAAATGACTCGTAAGGAATCTAAGAAAGCAATATGTGATGCAAAGATCTTAGCTTTTAGTGTTTTATATAATAGATTAGATACTAAGGTGGGAAAAAGATATATGTATAAGTTAGTCAAACAAAGAGATAGGAGTAGTAAGGATTTAGTTCAAGTGAAGTGTATTAAGGATGAAGATTAAAAAATATTTTTTTTAGAAGATAATATTCAACAAAGTTGGATGAGATATTTTGCTAAACTTTTTAATGAAGATTGTGAAAATAAGATTGACTGTAGTGACCTTAGCACCCTAAATATAAATAAAGATTTCTATTTTTATCGGCACATTAGTAAAATCAAAGTTAGAGGGGCTTTAAAGAAAATGAAGGGTGGAAAAGACGTTGGACTTGATGATATTCCAATAGAGGTGTGGAAATGCTTAGGAGATGAAGGAATTTCTTGGTTTAATAAATTTTTTAATACTGTTTTGAAGACTAAAATGATGCCAGATGAGCGGAGAATGAGTGTGTTAATCCCTATTTTTAAGAATAAAGGTGATGCACAAGATTGTGCGAATTATAGAGGAATTAAGTTAATATGTCATACTTTAAAACTATTTGTTTTTGGAAATTTGAATTATATGTTAATGAAAAAAATACTGGGATTTGGGAAAGATAGAATTTTGAGTTGAACTATATTTCATGTTATCTTATTATTGGGCTATTTTGATTTCACTTCATATCTTATGCTTTTTTATGTTTTATATTATTCACTCATTAGTATATAAAAAATTTATTATTTTATGTTTACGCAATCTTTTGATTTTGAGGCTTACGCCTTGCCTCAGGAATGAAAAACGCCTAAATACTCGAATACGCAATTTTAAACATTGAAAAATATGACACTTAAGTGGAAGTGCAAGGTGAAGGATCGAAGAAAGGGTATGTTTATATGAAATACATTTTTTGTGGAAGGTTATGGCAAGTTCGGGTTTGGAGTGCTAGGAGGCTTGGATGGTGGTGTAAAGGAAGTGTCAAAATTATATCAAGGCCAACAGGTGTTGGTTCTATAGTTCGGGTTTGGAGTCAAACATGAGGGTTCGGCAACTGCAAGTTACGAGTCAAAACGGGTTGAATTCTGGTTCATAGGCTGACCCAAACCCGACATGAAATTTAAACTATTCGAAAAAATTAACCCAAACCCAACTTTTTTGTTAACTTGATCGACCCAACCTAGAAATTTTTGGGTTGGATTTTCAAGTCATGTCATATATTGACACCCCTACTCCTATCATTGATAAGGTTCCTCTAAAATAAGTGATTGCTTTACCATACAGACTACATAGGGGTGCAAAAGAATCCAGTCGAGCTCGAGTCAAGCCTACACGAGCTCAACTCATGAACCAAATCTTGAGCTCGAGCTTGAACTCGAGTTGAGCTAAAAATTCGAGCTCGACTCTCCACAGAAATCGAGCTCGCCGAGCGGCTCTCTTCCGTCATGAAAGCAAATGGCACGCACTTGCCTCTTTCGTAGCGAATGTCGTTCGCACGCAGCCACTTTGGATTAGCCCCCACCATTCTGCGTCTTCCATCTCGAACGCGGTTCGCATGAGCACGAGCTCCAATTCGGCCCCTGTCGCGGTTCGCATGCGGCACGAGCTCCGATTTTCCCCTATCATTCTGCCTTATGCCCCTGCCGTTATGCCTTCTACTCCCCGCCGTTCCGCTTTTCGCAAGCCGCTTGAGTCTAGCCGATGACTGTTTGAACTTTAGCTCGATAAGTTCAACAAACTCGAAATCCTACTCAAGCTCGACTCACGAGCTCGACTTGCGAGCTCAATAAGCTCGACTCGCGAGCTCGTTAACGAGTCGAGCTCGAGCTGGCTCGTGAGTCGGCTTGACTCGGTTGCACCCCTAGATCTGCATAAGAATTCTTGCAAAGAATATGACAACAACAGCCATTTTAAGGCAGTGAAATTGATGAACAGTTTTCACATTCATTTATTCACACATAATGATAACTAGTTGAGAAAAGAATTTATATTTAATTTTGATGATTCTTAAAGCTAACAATATATAACAACAACAGAAAGTTATATTTTTGCTAAACACCATTATACGATTTATCAATACAAGGGACACAATTAGGACCAAGTGGAACTTCAAACTAATTATCAATATATACTAAATTTAGCGGATGATCATACAATGTCTTTCTAAAACAATAATTTACAATGTCTTTATAGCAAACTTAAAATTGATAATTAAACTTGTAGTGAACTAACATATTTTATCCTTAAATCATGTATAGAAACATAGTTGATACCAAAAATCAAGAATCAGAAACTATGGAGAATTTATTTTTCTTCAAACTTCTGTATGCCTTTTACTGGCACAACAATTACCATTCCATGCCTAAATTGAAGCCTTAAGCTATAAAAATTAATTTCCGCATGAATTTACTTCATAATTAATACAATACTTATTCCAAACCGAAATCTTAAACAAGGAATTCTGATCCTAAACAACCGTACAAAATATTCTAAAAAGCCTTTTTGTAGCATTCAGACCCTCATGAAGAAATTTTTAACCTTCCAAACGCACACATCTATTAAATCTAATTACTTCCTTCTATACACAACGAAATCATTTAAAATCTAAATAATCTTACTTCATAGTTCCAAAATTTGATAAATCAGAGACCAAGAAGGTCAAGAGTTTTTTTTTCATAGTATCTAAGGAGTGCGTCTTGGATCCGAAGTGACTGTTGTTGAGTTTGCACCAGAGATTGTACCCACCATGGATGCCGAGATACGAAAGCAATTCCAACGCATGCTTGAGAAGCAGAAGATGAAATTCCTTCTCAAAACAAAAGTTGTAGGGGTTGACACATCTGGAGATGGTGTCAAGCTCACACTTGAAACTGCGGATGGTGGCAAGCAAAGCACACTTGAAGCAGATGTAGTTCTAGTTTCTGCTGGTAGAATCCCTTTTACAGAAGGACTCGGCCTAGAACGGATTGGCATTCAGACAGACAAGGCTGGAAGGATCACTGTTGATAAAAAGTTCACAACTAGTGTTCCTGGAGTTTTCGCCATTGGGGACGTGATACCAGGGCCCATGCTCGCTCATAAGGCTGAAGAAGATGGCGTTGCATGTGTGGAATTCATTGCTGGAAAACAAGGCCATGTTGATTATGACTTGGTGCCTGGAGTTGTGTACACTCATCCAGAGGTGGCTTCTGTAGGTAAAACTGAGGACCAGGTGAAGGCCACCGGAGTTGATTACCGTGTGGGCAAGTTCCCGTTTTTGGCAAACAGCAGGGCAAAGGCTATTGATGATGCTGAGGGTATTGTAAAGATAATAGCCGAGAAGGAAACCGACAAGATTCTTGGCGTGCACATAATGGCACCAAATGCTGGGGAACTTATCCACGAGGCAGTGCTCGCATTGCATTACGGAGCTTCAAGCGAAGACATCGCTCGCACATGCCATGCCCATCCGACAATGAGCGAGGCATTGAAGGAGGCGGCCATGGCTACTTATGACAGGCCCATTCATATCTAATGTGTGAGTCTGTTTATTTCTTTATCTTGCAATTGTGTTGAAATAATTCTGGGATTAAGTAACAGGAGACCTCATTTAAAGTTATCATTTCTCTTGCAATATTCATTCGAGAATGAAATTTTGTTGGATCTTTCTCTTCTGCTCATTGAGATTTTTTTTTTTAAATGTCTGAAAACTGAATGTGGGTATGTAATCCAATAGTGATATTTAATTATTTATCCGCCGAATGCTTTTTTGATTCACTCTTGGAGTTTTATTGTATTACATTTTAATTGCATTTGATTTTGCTTTTAGGGGCTGTTTGGTATGCGGATTTAGGCGGATTTAAAGCCGGATTTGGGCGAGATCCAGCCAAACGGCCTAAAATGCAAATCCAAATCTCACAGCAAACGAAATCCTCTGTGGACGGAAAATTCCGCCGATTCGCTCTAAATCCTGGATTTTCGAAATCCTTTAATTTGCTGGATTTACGAAATCCATGGTGCTAGAGAAAGAATCCTTTAGTAAATCCTGCTCTATAGCCAAACAGCTAGATGAGATTTAAGAGGATTTATCATGAATGTTACCAAACAGTATTCAGGATTTAAGCCTCTCAGGATTTCCGAAATCCGGATTTAGAGAATTTACGAAATCCTACTTAAATCAAATCCAAGATGCTACCAAACAGCCCCTTAAGGTTTGTGAAGTAGCTTAGAACTTCTATTCTCAAATTTGCTTCTCAGATCAGTGTTAAACTGATGACGAAGCTATTTATCTTTTTGCTTTACTAAAGGCATCTCCAACCGAAAAATCCATTTTTCTCTGGCAATCAAGTGAACCTTGTTTCGATCTCCTCTTTGACTGCTGCGTTCTTCCCTACCTCCCATCCTCTCAGTGTCGAACACAGGCAAGCAACCCACACGCACGAAGCCGATGACAAGCCCAGTCGTCCGCTTCTATTCCAGACCTCCAAACCGCCTAGCAGGCCGATCCCGTTAGAGCCTACAGCCGCATATACACGACCTACTTCTACAGCCACTCGATCCGCACCAGACGGTCACCCCTCTCGATCCCGTACAGATAAGCCAAAGCGCTAGCTGGCCTTCCATCTACTACCCATGACCAGGCCAAATCTGCTCTAGCCCGACTCTTTGCCGCCGACCCGATCTGCTTCCGTGACTTGTCTGATCCTTCATCCCTTATCCCTCCCTCTCTCTGTTATATATACAGGTGACATAGGGATCCCAGGAGATCAATTTCGTGGTTAATATATCCCTTGAAGCTCTCGGCCATTGATTCGATCCAACCAAGCAAATTTGAAAGGGCAATTGCCCTCCCTAACCTTCCCTTTCGGGGAGGGGCACCAGAAGGCTGCCGGGTTTTTAAGGAGGAAAAAAATGTGTGTTTTAAAATTATCATGTCGCGCATAATTGGATGATCAGAAGACCAACTCCAGGGTCGATTCGCTCGCCCGAAGCCTTTGGCCATTGATTTGATCCGACTGAGCAGATCCAAAGGGCAAATATCCTCCCAGCAGAAGGCTGCCAAAATTTTGGAAAAAATACCAAATTACAAACAATTGCTCGAAGATCGATACCAGGTCGATTTGCTCCCTTGAAGCCCTTGGCCATTGAATACTATCCAGTTTGGAGGATTTGAAAGAGCAAGTACCCTCCCTACTCTTCGTTGGGAGGGGTCTCTGGTAGCTACCGAAATATAAAGTGACAAAGAATATGACTTAATTAAAATCATAGGGAACCTGACTTAAGAAAAATAAACAGGGAATTAAACTTGCAAACTAACCACAGGGAACATAATTTGATGCTTAAGAATAAAAATATGATGTGCGTGATAATGAAAGTCTAACCTAAATGAATGAACTTGGAACTTGTGAGCCCCAAGAGAACCTTAATATATGTTCGACAGTTTGCTTACGAATGACAAGTATGACATGCAAGTGAATGTGTCAATTAATTATGTCAATCAACTTAGAAATGAATAACAAACATGCTTGTAATCAACAACAATTAACTAACGGGCAAGTGCATTTGTCCGTTTACGAGTGATGTCAACGGATATAGCAACTTGCAAGTTAACATGCATAAGGAAATCAATACTGAATGCAGCTCGACTAGTAGCCCACATCAACATGCAAATGAACACACTAAACTTGTTCGTAAATAATAATTCTTACAGACATATATAGTGCGACATACGATAATAAAATTATTTATGAGAAACTATAAGAGATTCATCAGTGAATAATAGTTCGTCTGCAAGAAGCAGCAAGTGACCGTAGCACAGCGCAACGACCGCCTACAGACAATGTAAAATCTACGTTGATCGTAGTTTGTCTACAGATAATAGCTGGTGGTTTCTAAATGTCCACTGCATGCTCGCAAATAAAGTTAACAAATCTTGAAATACACGACAATCTATCAACATAAAGCAACGGATGACCTGCAGCACAATGCAACACCACCAAATCCGTAACACTTGTACAAGCAGACAAAAGGCAATACCTCTATAATGAATTTGATTTATCCACTAAAATCATTCAAGCATATGCTTCGATTGTCATATTTGATTCCTAAATCCAATATCTAGAGAATACTATACCGGCCAAATATTCCAAGTTTCATCCTCCTCATTGAAAGGATTGGAGTTGACCTAATTTGGATTAACAAATGAACGCATAATCATCAAGCACAAAAGCTATCTAAATGTAATTCATCATAAAACACAAATATTTGATTTTAGCATTCATATATTAATAAATTATTAAACCTGGTCATCTATTTGCTGAGGAAACAGAGTTGATAAGATTCAAACAATCAATCATCTATTCCTCAATGATGACCGTGTTGAAAGCTATTCTCATGCGGAGGGGACTCCAAATATTTAAAATGTGTCATAAATTCCTATGAAAATAAATTTAATGATAATAAAAATTATCACGGTCAAATCTTAATTAGAATATTTCGATTTAAATTTTCTATCAAGCAAGCTCAAATATGAACATATGATCCATCAATCACCATCCTATTTTACCAAACACCTTTTGATAGCTTATGTTTTTTGTTTATTTGTAGAACATTATGTGCATATAATTATTATTTCATTTTGTAAGAAAGTACTGTAATTAGCATGCAGATTCACTTAAAAAATCTAATTAGTTTGAGAAAAATGTTCCATAGAATTTTCAACTAAAGATGATGATAATTATAAAGATATATTCGACTCATGTATTTACATAATTATACATCTAATTTAATGATAATGATAATGGTTAAATAAATCCTCAGTATTTATTATAATGATAGGATGATCCTTCGTTACAATCAAGGCTATACTGGATGAGGTGGAGTTATGTAATTATCTATTGGTTGGGGAGGTTTAGCTATCAACTAAGAAGTTTTTGATAATTATCTATTGGTTGGAAGCTTTAGCTATCAACCAAGAAATTTTGGGCTTAAAGTTTATGTATGTGATATGTGTATGAATTTACTTTAATTGATCTAATTAAGTGTCCTCAAAGAAAATAAAGTAATTTACATGTACTTGTCATTTAGGCATTGTTTGAGACAACTTTCTTATTGTTTCTTAAGAAATTTTTTTACTATATAAATTAAAAACTTTATACTAAAAAGCTGCATTAAGAAGTAGTAAGAAAGCTGTCCCGAACAAATGCTTAATATTTCATTAGGTTAATCTATTAATTTCTAGGAATTCTCATAATAATTTGGCCTTAATAAATCATTAGATGCACTATGACCATAATTTCTAAATGTAAAATATCTACAATTAAAATGATAAAAAAAAAATTAAAATTAGATATTGGGTGAATGTGAGCTCTAAAGTTTGCTTATTTATAAGGGCAATTTTTCAAAGTAAGCAAAATTAGCGAGTTAATGATAAGATTAAGCATGACGTTGAAAGAATTTAAAAATAGTCAAAGTCGCTCGTTTGAAAGGCGACTTATGTCTAATCCAAAGAACAACGTGACATATGATGTGGCAATTAGATGACTTGAAGTTAGTCGCCCGTTTAACAGGCGACTTATCCTTAGATAAAATTCCGACTTTCCCTTTCCCGATCCATTCCTCTCCCTCTTTGCCATTTTTCGTAGCTTCTTCGGTTCTTTGCCGGCATCAGGTAAGGTAAGTTTTTTATTTATGTATTTTATGTTAATTAAGTTAAATACATGTTGATTAGTGTTTATTTTTCTTAGAGAAGTAAAGATTTATGTTTTGCGGACTGTTTCTCTAATTTTTTTATGTAAATCTTTTTGTTTGTTGAATTAATTTCAAAATTTGTTTGCGATAAGCATAGATTTTTGCATTTAGGATGTGAATATTTTAAATATTTTGTAGATATGTGATTTAGGGTTGAATTATATATTTAAAGTGATAATTTGTGCGGTAAATATGCGTGTTTTTTGGGTTATTTTCGGATGGAGAAGATGAAGGTTGGATACAATTTTTTTTAATTTTGTCATATTTTGTTATTAAGCAATGCTCATTATATTTTGAAGTTAGTGTATGTTCAAGTAAATATTTGGGTTAATTTTACATGTGTTTGGAAAGAGGTAAAATTTTATAAATTTATTTTAATTTTTAATTATTTGTTGTAATAATTTTAATTATTTTGAAGTTATATGTATGTTAGTTCGAATGAATTTTGAGATGAAATCCTTAATAAGTGTTAGTTTCAAAATAATTGAGGTTATGTTAAGTAGATAGATAATTAGAAGTATTTTAAAATTAAAATTTTTAGTTTTTTTTTGGAGTAATTATTTGGTAGAGAGATAATTAGAAGTAATTTATTGGATATTAAATTTTTTCAAGTTATACTAATCATTTAAATATGTTTATGTCAGAATTGAATTAATGTAGTATTTCATTATGATATTCTCATGTTAATATAAGTTTTAATTTTTATAACTTAGGTTTAGGATTTAGAAATAATATAAATTAAAATAAACATATATTAAGACTTTGTTAGTTGTTCATCTTTTTTAGTGGAACATACGAGTTCAATAATGAGTGGACGTGGTGCAACCTTCATGCTACTGTATGGAGGTGAGTTGCAAGTGGATGACAAATTCGCACCAAGTTATTATGGAGGCAGGAATCGTCCCGTGCATGTGCTGAGAAATATAAA